CTCTTCTGCTCGCGGCTTTCCTCTCTCTTCCCCTTTTATGCCCTGCTAAAAGGTCAAATTGACCTCTTATTTTCCCGCCGCCAAATATTGGTATCGATGATCCTTCCCATCCAACATAGTACATAAAGCTTTTCCGCTCCTAAAGAGTCTTGCTCCGGCAAATCTTACAATCTAAGCCATTGAAGAGACGAGGCGGAGAAAGCTATTAATGAATATCTCCATCACATTTCTAAAGCACTTTATATACCATTAGAAAGCTCACGAAACGTACATTCGAAGTATAGACCGTCCCTTCTTTCCTAGCGCCCCTCTACTCGAAGATAAATGGCATTTGGTCTGAAAACATGGGTGTTATCGTGAGGAAATGTCTATGCAAAGAATGAATGAAGGCGTTCGATTGTCTAAATATGTTATAGAGCAAAACTTTGCCAGTAAATAACCTGGACAGTCTCTTTTCACTAGCTTTCTTTCTTTTCGGAAATGGAGCGCAAAGTGATCCCATGAAATCAGGTGATGCTGCAGCTAGTAAATAATTTTATGTGTAAATTCACAGAAGAGCTGGAAAAGAGACGGTTTGCGTTTATTAAACATGTTGCAAGCTTTCGAATGGTATGTCGATTAATGACAAACTTTCTATAGTCAAAAAAATCTCTGCTCGATGATCTTTCAAAACCAGAACTTTGAGAAATTATTCATATCACACCTCTGCACCACTTATTCTCCCTCTTTGTCACCCCAGACCCACTCGGCATGCAAGCTCACGTCAGCATTCACCTGAATGCTCAGTTACCCGGGTAAATGTCAAGAATGACGATAGCTGGCAATAGTGGCACCCTGAGTGCCCGGGTGTCAATAAACTGGTACAGGTAGCAGCAGCGGACGAGCTCACGCAGGCCCTACATTTTAGAGCAGTAAATGTCCGAAGCCTCATTTTGCTTCAAGTATGCTTTATGTTAAGGCCTCTGATATTTTTTGAAAATGGAAATAATCAGCAATCACATTGCCATAAACACGTGATAGAAACGTCTTGGGCTTTAGCATCCCCTTCACTTTTCAAGGTCGGAAATAGCCGAAAAATCCTCTTCACCTGGAGCGGGTCGGATTTCCATTGGAGGAGACTAAAAACTTTTCAAATGAAGCTTTGGACAGGCAGTCCAAAAATTTTTTGGATACCTCCCAAAACCTGTGCGGCCCATAAACGAAATTTTGAAAAAGAAGGATGGCGACCACAGGCCTCCGTAAAATTTTTTAAAGGCTGATTGGAGTTTTTTAAAAAAAGTTACAAAATTATTTTATACATTTATAGTGGGTAAACAGGTTACTTGCACGTTTTTATAACCCACGTAAATAACATTCGCGAATCGCTTTAGGGGAAGGGGGGATCCGCCGCTGCGCAAAATCTATCAATAAAACCAGAATATATAAGTTTTTTCAGGGGAGAAAGTAAAAATGGTGAAAAGAAATGTATGGCAAAACGTCTTTGTATTTCTCCACTAATAAAAAAAATAAAAAATTTATGCTTTTTACAAAGCGCTAGGTTGTTCTTATATGAATAATTCTACACTAAAACCTCTAAATTTAACCGTAACTTTTATCCTTCCGCAAACACTAGCCCTTAAGGATGTCTATAAGAATTTTACAGCGGTGTTAGTCCTTGCAAACAATCTTTTGCGAAAGTTTACGGGGAACAGATTTACCTATGTGGAAATAGACCAGCACTGCAGCAAGAGCTGAAAGTTTTTTTGCAGCTCTTCTGTTTCAGACTATCAAAAATACAGCAAGTGTACAACTCATACCCGCAAGCAAATATCGCGAATAGGGTCATACGTACGAAAAGAGCATGTAGAGGGCACGTCACATATGCGCCAATCGCAAGAAGTAAGCTCGCAAACGAAAAATAATGCAACAGTCGCTGTGTGGCTTCAAAACCTTTAAGAATTCATTTTCATAACTTGTACGAGGGTCAAGCCTGTTGATCATAATCAACTCTTAGGACCCCACTACCTTGAAGCTAGCAATCTATATGACCCTCCCCCCTTACTTCTCCCTCCCCCGTCTCCATGCTTTTACGGTAGCTTGCATTAACAAATGTCAGATCGGTTCAAATGCCAATAGACCTGAATTAGGAATCATATGTGAGAGGAAGACAACGTGCTTACAGATTGCGAATCTACCCTCGATATCATCCCATATGTCTTCCCTCAACATGACGTGGATTACGTGGCTTGATGAGGCGCCGCCTCGCCTCGGGCTCGCGCCACGTTGCGAGCGCATCATTTGGCGCGACGTGGCGCTCAGTACAACGTGGCGCAGGCTTTTCCACGTTCTTCTTGTTGCCACATCACGCCGAAGATGCGCACGCAAACGTGGCGCAAGCCCGAGGCGAGGCGGCGCCTCATCAAGCCACGTAATCCACGTCATGTTGAGGGAAGACATATGGGATGATATCGAGGTTATGTATGTTATTTGAGTGGGAAAATTTCATAAGAATTTTACTGTACTATACTGTGTCTCAAGATGAATGGTCTTGACGAAGGGGGTATATGTCAAGAATAACGATAGGTGGCAATAGTGGCACCCTGATGCCCGGGTGTCAATAAACGGTGCACTGGTAGCACCGCCACAGCAGCGGACGATCTTACGCAGGTCTTACATTTTGGAGCGATAAATGCCCAAAACTTTGTTTTTCTTCAAAAATGCTTTATGTTAAGGCTTCTGCTATATTTTAAAGATGGAAATAATCAGCAATCACATCGCCATAAACATGCGATATAAATTTTTGGTCTCAATTTAGCATGTGAAATACGTAAGCTTCTTTGGTCGTTGTAGAAAACGAACTTCAATGAAGAGAACTGAAGTTTGAATAATTTCTCTCAACTTCATGAATGAGTGAGGGTGGCTGTTCTGCGCGCGCGAGCAGCTGGCAGCTAGCGGCTGGCAGAGCTATCGCTATTCTTGACCGCCACCCTGACGAAGGCGGGCATCATTTGTGCCTAATCTCAAAATTTAAACTGTGACCTGCCTAGACGCTAACTTATAAACAACAAAATATAAATTAGCAGCTAAGAAAATTTGGAAGTACAGAGCAGTTTACCTCAACTGTTATAATTAATCATTCTATAAAAACTTGTTTTCTAATGACTTCTCTTATCCTGTGCTTTTAGAGATTTTTAGGCGATTCATGAATGTTTGGCATATCTCATTCTATCTCTAGTGAATGTACTAAAACACATTCATTGTGGTTATAAAAAAATGTTTTAGGCTCTGATGATAGTCTTTGGTTTAATTTCTGCGACGCTTTTTGCAGGGAGAAAAATGCTATTCTTAAGGATGCCTTCATACCGCGCCGGTAGCCGCCGTTAGCAGCCCGTAGCAGCCTCAGGCCGCTTTTGTCATAGAAGTGCAAAATCACCAAATTTTTACTAATTTGAGTGCGCCCGCCCACGCTTTCCATCTTCCACTTTCTCCACTTTCCTTTCTTCCTATTGCGGCTAATGTGCAGTTCCATTCTCACACGTTACAGAGTTATTCAAGATAAGTACTGGCCAAGGACATAATTGAAGCGAACCATACTTAAAAAATAAATGAATAGCACATCTGCCAAAAGCGGACGCATCCAAGGTCAGAAGAAATCACACCGCGCACAAACTTTGGCGATATATGGTCTAACCGTGAGAGGGAAACTGAGCATCAACAGGACAACCGATCGAATTGCGACAACACGAAGGAAAAAATGTGAAGATGGAGAGTGTGGGCGGTGGCACTTGGAGTAGTCAGAATTTCATGATTTCGTGCTTTTATGATAAAAGCGGCCAGCGGCGGCTACGGGCTGCTGGCGGATGCTGTGGGCTGCTAGCGGCGGCTGCCGGCGCGCTATGAAGGCGCCTGAAGCGTAAAGAATGCTTGCGAATAAAGAACTTACTTTCTTTTTTCTGTTAGATTTTTCTGCGAACAAAACCGTTTTACCGAACAATCTCAAAAACGTGCATGAGCAAGGTACTTTGCATATTTGTGATTAAAGCTAGAAAATGAGAGGCTGCAGTGAACAGGTTGTGTGGCAGACTGCCCAGGCAATTGAAGAAAAAAGTTGCAGTCATTTAGGAGCAGTGAGCTCGAAAAAAAAGTAAATGCAACTTTAACAGATTTAGATGCTATTCTAAAAACAAAAAAGTGAGATGTTTGAACTTGAAATTCACTGTGACACTGAAAACTAAACGAAACAATCCGGAAATCCCAGGCTAGAAAGTAGGAGAATATCGCGGTACTACAGCAAGATTGCATCAAACAAGCTTCCATATTTGCAAAGAAATCTAGATGCGACCCAGATACCTCCCCATTTACGTATTTTTGCTCTCAATTATAAAAAAGAGAATCCTCAGGACTATGCAACAGGACCAAATTTTGAAAGACATAGGAGAGAATTCTTAAGTCCATCTGAATTGTATGGGCCACATGAAAAGCATTACAAAATGATTATCAAACTATTGATGTTTATCGCTAATGGTACGCGCTTTTGTCGAGTGTGTGAAACTTCCCTGAGACTTCGGGAACAAGACTTGTAAGCCAGTAGGCCGTTCAACATCTTTGTTTCACATACATCCGTGATTAGTTTTCCAGTTCCAAAAGTGTTTTTTTTTTCGAATTTCCAATGATACTTACGGCCAGCACCTTCATTTTATACTTTGATGAGCAGCATTCTATGAATTTATCGTACAGAACATGTATTGCTACTCGATTTTCTTCATATCTTACGGATTTATTCGAACTGCCCCTCTTACACCCCCCTCCCTTCACGGTGGGTGTCCTTCTTTACAACCCAGTCGCGACAATCGCATTACACTCTTGACCCTGTTTGTAAGGGTTCTGAAAAAAAGCCAACTTGGTCTCTTGCTTTGTAATGCAACATACAGGGCTTACCACCAATCTCTATCGTAATAACATAGAATCTGTAAAAACCACTTATTGACGGTCGCTATTTTGATGTCATAGAACATTTCCAGAATCGCTCTCCGACGAATATAAGCGCCGAGCTTATGAAGAAGCTGAAAGAAATCGTGAGAGGTTGTATGAGCTAGGGGCAGGAGGATATTCCATCGAGTGAGTCTAATTTTATATACACGGTGACAAATGCTAAGACAAATTGGTTTGTACAATTCGTAACTTCAGAAAAAAATATTTTGAAAGCACGTGGTGATGGAGCTCTTCAAGAGCAAAAGGCATGTCACATCCTGAAAATTGATCGTAATCATGCTGAAATCGATATTCTACCCACTCAACCTCATATCCTCATTACATTTCTCAGAAAAATCACTTGAATGTTTACTATACTTTGGGAAATTCGAAAGTTTTTTCGAATGTTCGAATATCTAAAATTAATATTAGGTTGTCCCGAAAGTTTTGTCGGTTTTTTCATCGCTCACCAAACCTCATAGAACACCAATCCATGGACGGCCTAAGTGTCATACCATTCATTTTTGTATCCTCTTTCTTATAGCTATATTTGTTCCCTGATCTACCCCGTTTTTACGATGTTATCGTCATGGCTTTTTAAGCACCTCAGCAGTAGCCCCAAATCTTTCCTGAATTTTCAAAATTTTTATCTTGATATTTTCGATGAGCGCTGGTGACTATTATGTAGGGCAAACCTTTGGCTACATTGTACCTATTTTAGATCACGTGGGCCAGGTTTATAGTGTCCGTAATAATTATTTATTTGAGAAAAACCACGGCTTTTTGAACACGTTTTATCACATAAAATTACCGAAAATTCCAAAAAGCTGATTTTTGAAGCAAATCGAACTAGGTTATGTTGCGTAAATGATGTTAAATAACAAACAAGTTTGAATCCGCAAAAACTCAAAAGCTCTCATGCTTTTGCTGCAATTACGCGTTTCATACTTTGCTAAAAACCAAAGCCTCCGGAGAAATAATTTTTTGAAGTTAAAATCAGCAGACTAGGAGAATCTAAAAATATGGGCTTGTAGCCCGAGAATTGCTCTATTTGACCCATACTTGGTCTTTTTCGAAACTTTGTAAAGAAATTTTTGAAAATTAGCTCAACTTTGAGCAGGTAAAATTGACAGGTGGAGAATTTTGGCAATTATCAAAAAAAGCATACAGGATCATGATATGAAAGTGTATCCGTAAGAAAGAGAAAGAAAAGCTGTATCGAATGCATGTTGAAACTCACTCAAATCTTCATTGTGCGTGGTTTTACAGTGGTTTGAAAAAACCGACAAAACTTTCGGGACAACCTAATAATATAATATATAATATTATAATATAATATAATATATAATATTCGAAAATCGAAACTTTCGAATATTCGACCATCAAATAGTATTCGAAAATTTAAAACTTCGAATATTCGACTATCGAATTTTATTCGAAAATCGAAAATTTCGAATATTCAACTATCGAATACTATTCGAAAGTGGAAGTTTTCGTATCGACAGGGAAGGTTGGATTAGTGGAAGTGGGCTTTCCAAAAAAATCTTACTACTTTGAGGAGCATAAAACGGTGAATCCGAAACTGACTTCATTATCTGCCGAGCGCCTCTGCATGCCGAATTATACATATTCTTGATGCGAAAAATGGACGCAAAATCTAAGTAAAATAAATTTTACGGTCTTCTCAGCGCTCAAGTAGATCAGTGTTATGTACGAGTGTTTTAGATAGAAAGTATTGTTCATGGGGTGACCTGATAATTGAGATTGGACCATTTGAGCAGATCTGACAAATTGTATGTCAATTATGCACTCAATTTTTCAACTCAAAAAACGCTCATAACTCAACGTCCAGAGGAGCCCGGCAGGTAGCAAAGGCAGATTTGGAATCAGCGTTTGAGGCTCTCTGTAGTCGTATCAATTTCACGTGAAAAGGCCACTTCGACCAAACGGACCTTTTTTGTAAGAATAAATTTCAGGTATAAATCAGGAATAACACTTTTTTTATGTTTCAATTTACGATGAAAAAGTTCAGTGATGACGTGAAGAGACTTAAGATAGCCCTAGAACAAAAAATAGTCCCCCTACATAAGCGATGTTCGGAGCGAAAAAGGGGTCTACCAGGCCTGGAATTTGCCCCGAAAATGGCCCTCATCATACGGCAGGCTCGTGTGTACGAGAGTGGAGACGCAGATCGTTGCGGGACCCTGCACTCATGACTGTGTGCACTATGCGTTCTCTGGCCTTGCAGTTCGAGTTCGCTGTACGGGCGGCATTCGGGCCTACCGTAACACGGGCACTTTGGGAGCAATTTTCAGGCTTACCACACTCTCTTTTTCGCTCCGAACTTCAGTCACCGCTTAGGTGGGGGTTATTTAACATCGTCACATAATCCCGGACCCACATTTTAGGACGCTGCCTTTAAGAACCCAAAAGGGTACTCTTGTGAGTTGCAAAGGAATTTCAAACTTTCAAGAAGATTATTTATTCTCATTGAGAGTTGTGGACTGGCATACAGGGGTCCCAACAGTATCTGTGGATCTGTGGGCTGACATGATCCTAGACTCACAATATGAAGCGATTTATTAATCGCTTTTCACTGTTGTAAATTACCGTAGGAAAACTGAGGAGGGTTTTGAGATACCAAGAGCCGTTTGCCCAAGACTGAGAAACAAAAAGGCCGCTCCTAAACTAGGCCTCTAAAGACACTCGGTATATAAAGAATTTGCACTCAACCGTAACACCTTTTGCAACTTATGCCAGGTATCCGTAACAGACTTTTTCAACGTTTTTCAAAAACGAGTATGCACATTTAGAAGGTTCGAAAGCTCGTGCGTAGTTAAACATACGTAAAAACCTGCTGCATAGATCTCAAATTTTTTTTTGTTGGGGAAATTCTTTTGGATGTCTCATTTCGGTGGAAGTTGATACCGCGATACTCAACAAGAAAAAACATAGGTGATTTGCTTCCTGCTGTATTTGTAAGCTGAAGCCATCCCTACAGAATTTTACTTAAAGGTTGGCAAAAGACTGCGTGAGAGGTATTAGTGACTAAACAGTTTGTGGATACCCTTGAAACACCCCGTATATAGATAACGAATTTCCGAATATTCGATGCTTTGAATTTTCGAATAGTCAATTCTTATCGAATTTCCGAACATTCGGTGCTTATCGAACATTCGAATATTCCATGGACATCGAATGATCGAATATGACCATCGAATATTCGATTATCGAATAATATTCAAAAGTTGAGAATTTTGAGTGATCGACTTTCGAATAATATTCGAAAATGAAAATTTTCGAATACTTGAATATCGAATATTATTCAAAATCTTACAAGGAGAGGATACTTAGTCGAAAGCACCAATCCAGATGATATATCATCTGGACCTGCTTGGAGCGCTGATTTCAAATCTGGTAAAATCAGCTGCGGAGCGCCTTTGGGCGACGAGTTATGATTGTTTTTGTGAAGAAAATTTGAAGTCGAGGGAAGAAAAAAATTATACGCAGAAGTCTCCAGATGAACTCGAATGGGAGAGTGACGTCTGTCAGGTTACTCCGCGCAAAGAAAAATGTCTGTCTGCTAAACTCACATTTAAAACGAGTCTATCTGTAAAATATACATTTGTAACGATCAGTTTTACTCTCTTTACCCATTCAATTTTTGGCTATTGAAACAGTCATAGCTCCTCAGCCAAAGGCTCTCCGCAGCTGATTTTGCCAGATTTGAAATCAGCGCTCCGAGCAGGTCACGATGATGTATGTCTCATCTGGATCGGTGCTTTCGACTAAGTATCCTCTCCTTGTTAGATTTTCGAATATTCGAATTCAAATATTTATTCGAATAATCGAATAATCATTCGATATGGTCCAAAGTAAACTGTTTACTCGTTGTGTATGTATGTATGTGTATGTGTATGCATGTGTGTGTATGTGTGTGCATGTGTGTGTATGTGTATGTGTATGTGTATGTGTATGCATGTGTGTATAGTCGTCCTCACCCCACTAGTCGGCCGGTGGACGAATTCGAATTCAAACTGGAGCAGGCAGGTCGCAACAGAGCACGGCACCTTAGCTCTCCGTTTAAATTCACGCGTTCACTTTGCGTACTTCTTCGCCATTGCTTAGCAGTTTTGCATCGTTACAACGTTTTTGACCATATTGGGTTTTTGTAATTGCTGAGCGTTGTCTCCTGCCGCGCTCTGCCGTGACAGCCCCACTCCAATTCAAATTTGAATTCGTCCACCCTCCGACTAGTGGGGTGAGGGCGACTACTCAGATAATCGCCGGGGGCAAGCGGCCATGCGAATTTGGAGCAAGCGGGCACCGGAAAAATAGTTCGCTGATTTTTTGTGGTCCGCTTGCAGAAATTTGGAATAATTTTGGCCAATTTTTAGACGAACGCTCGAAGATCTACCGCGCTTTTTCTATACATAAGTTGCGGCACAGTGGCCGCATTCTCGCGGACATTCCGCGAAAACATGCAAAATTATTGGGAGCCGCACGGTCCTTTGTGGAGGACCGCGCAACCCCCAGGTACTTTCCGCTGAGGGAAAGTACCCCAAACTTGGGTAATAAAACCATCGATGGCACCTCTGCCACATAGAGTCTCATGTTTTCTCGGCGTATGCCCGAAACCGCGTAAAAAGAGTCCGAGCGCCTGCTGAAAGTTTGGCCAGCGCTCGCTGAAAGAGATTGTTTGACGAGCGCTTGCAGAAAATTTTGTATTGATGCCCGCTTGCAGAAAACGGAAATACCGCCCGCTGAAGATTTGGCCACGCCCCGAAATCCTGCTGACCGCCTGCAAAAAAGCGCGAGTTTGCGGACCGCCTGCCCCCGGCGATTATCTGAGTATATGTGTATGTGTATGTGTGTGTATGTATGTGTATGTGTATGTGTATGTGTGTATGTATATGTGTGTGATTTGCATGTGTATGTATATGTGTATGTGTATGTGTATGTGCATGTGTGTATGTGTATGTGTGCATATGTGTGTATGTGTATATCTGTGTGATGTGTATGTGTATGTCTATGTGCATGTGTGTATGTGTGTATGTGTATGTGTATGTGTGTATGTGTATGTGTGTGATGTGCATGTGTATGTGTATGTTATGTGTATGTGTGTATGTGTATGCATGTATGTATGT